GAGAGGAACTTCCTAATTCTCATATTAATTCATCCAGAGCCACCTGCATTTAATTGTCTTCTGCTTTTCCTTTGCTAACTCCCTGGTGGGAGGGAGGAGGGCAGAGGCTGCGAGCTCCTGAAAGCTTGTAGGTTCTACAGGGCAGGTCCCTAACCGGTGCCAATTACAGTGAAGGAAGGTGAGGAGAGACGCGTTCCCCTCCACCCCATTCCCAAGGTCCTGCAGTACAGGGAGCGTATGTAAACGGAGACTCAAGTCTATCAAGGAGATGTGTAGCTCTGAAATTTGTTAAATCCACTGTTATTCCATTAGCTATTTGCCTCCTTACAAGAGTCGAGGGAGATAGCAGGTCAAGTTTCAGAGGAGAAAGCTAAAGCCCAGGGAAATCTGAGTCTCATTCAGGGTTTCCTGACCAGAAGCTGGACTGGAATCTGGGTCTCCCCCTTCCCCGGCCAGAACTCTGAAGCCCGGAGAGGACAGTGATTTTCTAGCCATGGGCTTCCCTCTTCCCTCAGCCTCTGGTTTTTAAGGGAGTAGGATGAGCCTTTTGGCACTTCCGAGGCTCCTTGCTTTTTGCCTAGCAGGCTCCCCACCACGTTGCCTCCTACGGGAAAGCTGGAGCCCCTAATGAGTGCGAGTTGGGGGACAGGAAGGAAGGGGCACAGTTGGATCTGACTGCAGCGATGGCCACAAGGTGTAGTGAGCAGACCCCAATGAAGGAGGAGCGGGCACAGGGCTCTCCGCTAACAAACCAAACTGCCTTTTGCACTAGCTGCCCAGCTGGGTTCTTTTGTATTCAGAGCAGGAGGGGGAGTTTTTTGTTTTTGTGTTTGTTTTATTTTAAGTGCAGCTGCTTTAGCAAAAGCTGTGAAGACTGAGAGCCACAAAGACGCAGAGTCCACCACGGGGAATGATTTCTGGCTGCAGGACTTGAGGCAGGGGTGGGAAGGGAGCCCCGATATCCAGGCGGCTTTTGCCCAATGGGTTGTACACATCCGCCTTCCGTGCCTGCCCAGGAATGGCTCGGCTCAGCCTGGCCTCGCATTCCGACCCCTTTCAGGAGAGCAGTTTGTTCATTCTGTTTGTTTGTTTTGTTTTATGTCTGTCTTCATCCCAGAGAAAGCTATGTTTTCACTTTGTAAGGGTTCTTACATGTTCGGTATGTTTATTACAAAAACATGTACAGACAATGAGGAAGTATATAAAGAAAACAGTTGATGACCTCCACCACATACACATACCCACATGTCTTCCTTCTCACCGTTTTAATTTCCAGAGTTACCCTATTAGCAGTTTGGTGTGTATGATTCCAGCTGAAAGACACACACAAACACAAACACGCATGCGCACATTTTTTAACAAGAATAAAATAATAGTACACGTGCTGTTCTGCATCTTTTTTCACTCAAGAATGTGTCAAGACGTTTTTCTATTTCAATACATAAGCATCCACTTGATTCTTTTTAGCTGGTGTCTAATATTCTTTTTTAAAGATTTTTATTTATTTGAGAGAGAGGGAGAGAGCACAGAGGCAGAGGGAGAAACAGACTCCCTCCTGAGCATGGAGCCCGATGTGGGGCCCGATCCCAGGACCCCGAAATCATGACCTGAGCCAAAGGCAGATGCTTCACTGACTGAGCCACTCAGGCGCCCCTGGTGTCTAATATTCTAAAATCTGCATCTACCGTATCTTATTTACCAGTTCCCTTATCGAGGGACATTTAGGTTGGCCTTTATATGATGAGTGTTTCTTTCTTATATAAGATTCAACAGCAAACACACTCAAACATATGTCGGCGTGTTTTTATGAGTGTATCCATAATCAAATTCCTTGAGTTGAAATTGCTTGGTCAAGTGGCACACGCACTTCAAATTTCCTAGGTATTGCCAGTTTGCCCTCCAAAAAGGCTCTGCCATCTTACACTTCCATCCGTGGTACATGAGAGTGAGCAATGCTTTTTTTTCTCTGGGATTTGACTGGAAGGCTTTGAAGATAGTTGTAGTTTACTTCTGTTGCTCTAAGCCCCATCCCAGAGCCTGTCACTTCTCGGGTGACTCTAGGGGCTGGTAGGGTTGGTGAGAGCCAAAGGAGCAATACAACAAACACAAAACAAGAAAGAACAACCCAACTGAGAGTAGGAGAGCTGGCTTGTAGGATCTCTCTGAGGCATTGGACAGGCTACTTTAAATCCCTGGGTGTCCATTTGCTCATCTATCGAATGCAGTTTGTACTTGCCACAATACACTGTTGTGGTTGTTGTGAGGATCAAATGGGGAGGTAGGAAAGTGGTTTGTAACCCGAGAAGCAGGATACACATGCCAACTGGTTATTCCAGTAGTGTGGTTATTATATCCTTAAATCAATGGGCTTGGAGAAGGAAACAGGGGGAAGTGGGAGTTGAGTGGGAAAAATTACACAGATGAAATCTTTAAGACATTCTCAGCTTCCCTGAAAGTTCCCATGCCGTCGTCCTATATTCTTGGAGAACGAACCACGTTGGCAGTAAAGACTGCTTTATGGTATCAAGAAGAATTGGGGCGCCTGGGGGCTCAGGTGGTTAAGCGTCTGACTCTGGGTTTTGGCTCACGTCTTGATCTCATGGTTCATGATCTCATGGGTCCTGAGATCGAGCCCCCCAGTCCAGCTCCGTGCTCAGCGGGGAGTCTGCTTGAAGATTCTCTCCCTCTGTCCCTTACCCCACTCACGAGGGCAGGCACACCCCCCAAATAAATAAATAATTCTTTTAAAAAAAAGGAAGAATATAGGTTATTGCCCTTTCATGGGAACACTGAAGTCTTCTGTGCTGGGCCTGGCTCCTAAGTCCAGTCCTCTTTCTATGACAACCCTATGCTTTAATTTGTCAGGCACCTAATAGGATTTTGGCCCCGTGCTACTTTCTATAATCACCAGTGAGAGAAGAAATACACACATGAAATGCTTAAATAACCGTGTGCGGTGACTACATAAATAGCTCTGAGTTATAGCTGAGGTATATGGGAGGATTAGAGTGAAATCAAATACCTTTTAATTACAATTTAAATCAGTAGCCCAGAAGAACAAGTTAAATCATTAGCCAGAAAAAAAATCCAGTTTTATCTATTTCTTAAAAAATAAGAATGTTCTTATTCTTTAAAATAACCCAAATAAGTGCATTTTACAAATCAGAGATGTAACATTAAGTAAATGTTCATTCATTTAGATCAGTGATTTTTAGATTACTTTTACCATGATGTAAAAACAAAAAATCAATGTGATGGGCTACTTTCTTTAACCCCAAAGTTAATTAAAAAGATATCTGTAAAATCACTGAAAGCAGAACCCTCGTGATGTCAACCTATTAATCAGAGATTTGAGGAGGGGGGTGAAGGGTGTTTTTACATTAGGAAGACAACCACCAAGCGCACACACAAAAAGCTATTTAAAAATGCCTTATTTAAAAAAAAAAACACCAATCTAGTATACTCTTTTTTTTCCAAGCAAATACATATTTTAACAAAACCAATAATACCATGTATCGTATTAGAAAAAGCATGGGCCTTGGACTCAGATCTAGATACAAATTCCAGCTCTGCGACTTCCTACAGTGTTCATGTAATAGTCAGGTAGGCATAAATATATTTTTAATTAAGGAAAATAAAAAGTAAAATGCAAAGTGATCCTTTAAAAAATCTGGAGTATGTAGTTTACTAGTCTTTGCCTCCCTCTTTCCTGCCTTATCCTAGATTAGAAGGGTCTTCGTTGTTCTTTTTTCAACTTCCAGCATGATCGTAATTTTAAATGAATTAGTCCAAAGAGGTATCCCATTCTCTCACCTTCCCCAGATGTTGTCTCTGTGAATCTAGAGGCCTGTTGTGTGACTTTTCCTAAAAGGAACTTGGCGAATATATATTAGTTCACTCTCTGTCTTGAAACTTGTTTTGCTAGCATTATGGAGAGATGATGGCTGGACGTTATGGGGTGTCGAGAAAATTGGAGAAAAGTGTACTGTGGAGGGTCATAACCCATTTTGATCATTGAAGTATGGCAGGATATATTTGTCTTCATAAAAATAAGTTTGAAAGTGGAGAGGGAAAATCATCCATAAACTTTTACCTGACTGTGGTAATTTTATGTTCTCTTCTGATCATTTCTGTGGGTGTATTTTACATCATTATAATTCAAAGGTCCTTAGTATTTTGCATTCTTTGTCACTTTTGATGACAGCTTACTGTCTCCTTCCTGGGATTTACCATAATTTATATAATCTAGCCAAATCCTGGGGAGTATGGATTTTGGAGTAGCTTTCAGAGTTACATTTTAAGCTTTGCACACGGGCAAAAATTTGAACTTTTTCTTAGAGACGAGAGGCCAGGGAAGGTTCTAGGGAGAGCCACATTTTAATGAAATTAAATATATGTATATATCTATGTATCTAAACTACTTGAAGTAGTTTGTTTGTTTATTTATTTATTTAGTATAACGCTCCGTGTTTTGAAGTGTGTGTTTCACGGGCAGAAAGAGTTTCCCTACCTAGATTGTCATCTCTGAATGCCACTGTCATATCTGCCAGAGTCTACTGTGTAGTCCAGAGACTCCATCAGCGTAACCTGTTGGCCTGACAGGTGGTGTCCCAAATCCAAACCATTTTCCCCAGTAAAGAGTGCCCGTGTAGCTGGACGGATTCCCTCCCCTGGAAATTTATCCGGAATTCCAGTCTTCCCGGGGTGCGGGGGGGCGGTTAAGGAAGATCCATGAAATGCCCCCGCCCCTTCCTACTGTCAGGTGCGCCTCTCTCTTGACTGCCCCACCTCTGTCTAGACAACCCCGACAGTGTAGAAGTTTCCATCTCCTTTTCCTTTCCCTCTCTCTGTTCCCTCCCCTTCAGTTTTTTTTTTCCCCCCTCCCGGGCGCTTCCTGCCTGGAAACAAAAGATTGGTCCCCAGCAGCCCACTCAGGGCGATTTTAGTTTTCTGCTCACTCTCTGATTGGCCCGCGTGCGGCGCAGAGCCCGGGTGACGTCATAGCAGACAAGAGCTAGGGAGCGGTTGCCGAGCCGGGCTCTGCCGCGGGCGGGCAGCTGTCGGCCGCGTACCGTCTGGGGGCTTGCGCGGGGGACTGCAGCTTTCCCCGGCCCGGAGCAGGTGTGCGGGGCCGGGAGGAGAGCCGGGGGGAGCGGGCCGGGCCCGGGGCTGCGGCTGCGGCCCCCCCCCCCCAGCCCCGCCAGCCCGAGCGCTCGGAGGTAGAGAGGAAAGGTCTGGACAGGGTGGCTGGACCAGTGGCAGGTAAATCCCGCGACTCACGGCGCCCGGCTTGCTCGGGGGAGGGTGTGGCGCTGCTGGGCGGATTTTCTGCCTTCCCGGGGGGGGGTCCCCCTCCTGCTCTCGCGGCGCCCCAGCCTCGGGTCCCCTCCGTGGCGCCCCCGGAGCCGCCAGACCCGGCGCTCAGTTCGCCCGATCGCGCTGGGCGGACGCGGACGAGTGGGTGTGTCAGGGCCACTCTCGGAGGGCCTGGACCCCGGCGCCGGGGCAAGCCCTAGACTCGCCGACTCGGGCCTGGGCCACTGGAGGCCAAAGCCGCCCCCAAAGCAACGTCAGCCTGTTAGTCTTACACCATCTTCCCGCCCCCTCCCCCAGCCACGGAAGCGACGGCAGCCCCCACCCCCCCTCCAAAAAAAACCCACCAAGGAGAGGAGGTGTGGCCGCGGCCGGGGCAAGTCCGAGGGAGGGGGAAAAGCCCAACCTGAGCAAACATAAAAAGTGACGATTTTCTTCTACGGGGCACCCTTTCTTTTATTTTTCTTTATCTTCCTCCCCTTTTTTGGTCGGGGGAGGGTAATGACAGGACGACTCATTTCTTGTCACGTGGAGACTGGAATGATGCAGTACTATCCCTAAAAAGCCTGGGGTCCCTCAGTTGGCCTTTGTCTTTGTTGAGGGGGGCAAGGGTCATTAGGGGTCATTAGGTCCATGGCCACCCCACCCTGTCCTCATCACGCAGGGGGCCTTGCCCTCAGTTTGTGAACTGGCTCTGGAGAGACGACTGCCACACTTTGGGGCGGTTTGAACATTTTCGAATCTTGCTCTCACAGGCTTTCCTTCCCTAGATGGTGGTTTAGGGACGGGGTGGGAGGGCGGTGCCCGGAGGGAGGGAGCCAGAGGCCCCACTTGATTTTTTGGTCCCACCTTCCAGAATCCAGTGGCAGACTCTGGACTTGAGGGTTCTAGGCTGTGGTCTGTAGAAGCAAAGGACAGAAGGGTGAGTGGCTTGGCTTTGGGAAGCATGAAGGGGGTGGTTGCAGTGTTATTTTTTTTTTTTAATGGCTTTCAGCAGGGAAGCCTTTAGCCATGTTAGTCTTGCTCCCCCCATGGTTTTGCAGACTCAAATCCAGGCCAACTGTATGGCCGTCTGAGGTGTTGGAACAGAAGGAGGTCCATTCCTGTTGGTGACAACACTGTGGCCCTGTTCTGGGATGACCGAGGTATAAAGGTCAGTGCGGTTTTCACTGGGCCATTTGCAAAATTATAATTGGGCAGGTCTGTGATTGGGTACTTGAGGCCCCTAACCAGGGGCACCTTTGGGTAAAGGGGCTTAATCTGGTAATGGATGACTAAGAGGGAGAGCCACGTAAGCCTCCGCTTCTGGGTACAAATGTTATACCTCCCTACTCCATGAAAGAGGCAAAATGGGAAGAGACTGGCGTGAATGCTGGGTAAAAGCCAACAGCTGAGAATCTTGAGGCCAGAGGGACCTTGAGATGTCAAGGAGTGGACCCTCCAAGCCTCCAGGCAGGCAAGTGGGCCTTGTAGGAGAGACTGAACAGAAAACGGGAGGTTCACGTGTGATGTGGATGCAGGCAAGGGGCCACGACACCCCAAAGGCGTTCCGACCATTACCACAGGTTGCAGATTGCTTAGAGGCAGAATTGGCTTACAAAGCAAACGAACGTGCTGAGGTCTTTGGGGAGAGGGCAGCAGACGTGACAAGTGAGAAAAATGAGGAATAACTGGGGGGGGGGGAATGGGAGGTGCTGCCCCCATCAGAGACTCTGCTATTGTGAGGTCAGAGACGAAGCTACTGTGAGGTCAAAGAGGGTGGCCAAGGCAAAAAGAAATCAGGGCTAGAAATTTAGACGCAGGTAAGCTCGGATGGAGCAGGTAGGAACAAAGCCATAGAGAGAAGAAGAAAAGCTATGGTCTTAACCAGGAGCTCGAAGGCCCCGTTTTCCCTGGTGAGATGGGGAAATGGTGGTGGTCGAGGCACATGTGGTTCAGCCCAGACTTAGGGGGACAATTTCTTGGTATTGAGGGACTCGATAGCATTTCCATCCGTGTAACCTGCCTTCAGGAGCTAGTAGCTTTGGTCATAGGAAGGAGAAGAAACTCTGTGAATAGCCGACTCCACAGTGGCTCTTTCCTCCTGGGTAAGGAGAAGGAAGAGGGGGCAGGGTCCCAAAGGCGATTAGGGGAGCTTCGAATCCGCCCAAGACAGGTAGGTTGACTATTTTTACACGGGGAGGGCCAAGGCCAGGTCTGGGGTCCCTGCTGCAGGCATGGGGGTATCTGGCTGTGCTCCAAAAATGCCCTCCTTCCCCGGGGCCAATGGGACCCCGTGCAGGTGAGGGATGGTGAAAACCCCTGCCCTAGAAGGTAAGTGCAGCTGTTGAGGCTTCTGGGGTGCCCTGTTGTCCCCCAAGCTCTCCACCTGCCAGAGGCTAGGCGGTTCCCTCTGCAGGGCCCCGATTGGACGCCCCTGCCAACTCGGCGCTCTGCTGCTTATCCAGCAGGGGGCAGGAAAGGGCACGCAGTGGTGGCAGGGCCGGATTCGTCCATTTCCGGTGTGAAGTGGGAGCCTTGGGATCAAGTAACAGACTTCTGTTTAAAATCTGATTTAGGGGTACCAGAGAACCAAAGGAACCCCCGGGGCCTGGCAGTCTGTTTCCATTCCCTCCCCAAATGTGTCGCTTCCTCCCGCGCCCCAGGACTTTGGAAGGCATTTGCATTTACATACGGCGCAGTGATTACTCCAGTCACTAATACACGCAGCCTACCCCAGAGTTTAATTGGAAATGTTAATCAGTACAATGGATCCATGTCTGATTTGCACATTCGGTCAATTATCTGCAGGTTGGGGCAATCTGTGCTGCACCCGGGAGACGTGATGAGGCGCAAAATGGCGTAGCTATCCGGCTGGGGCTGCGGGGGGGAAGCAAAATGGGGGGGGGACCTTGAAGACTGGAAAGAGAGGAAGAGTTTACTGGTGGGGAATGGAGATCGTTCCCAAGGTGCGGTCACAGCAGAGCCTGGGCAGCTGATCATTGAGATGGAACAGGACCATCCTGGAGCCCACACAGCGGAGAGGGAGGACAGGGTTTTGCCCAGAGCTGGGAAGGTGCTGGGTTTGGAGAAGGAAGGTTTTTTCGAGACTAGAGGACATGGAGCTGGGGTGGAGCAAACCTTGGCAGTCAGGAGTCTGGTGTTGCCGTCTGCTTCTGCCCCTCTCCACGGAGCCTTAGTTTCCCTGTCTTTGAATGATGGGGTTGGACGAGGTGGTTTCTGAGACGGTCAGGAGATTTTAGGAAGTGGGTCCATTTGTTCTTGGTCATGAAGGCAGGTCCACCATAGGACAACATCCCCCCCCCAAAAAAAACATGTACCCTTTTAAATCACACTTTTTGGTACACCCTCTGATTTGGGGGGAAACAGTATAAAACAAACCCCCAACCCCTACACACATTTCATCTCTTTGAGCAGCGTGGTTTAATTTTTATTTCATGTGAATGGGAAACGAGAGGGAGAAGAGAAGCCCTAGGGACCCTAAAACCAAGCCCCTGAGAAGCTCTGTGGGGATTTGATGCAGATCTTATACAGTGGGGTGGGGGGTAGATGGGCCCTCATGGTGCTAACTCCCTCACTCAGCCTCAAAACCGAAGGGCCTGGATTGAGGGTGAAGGAAGGCCCAAGGGCTTAGTGTGTGTATCCTTTTCCTTCTTTCTCCCTCATCTCTCTCTGAGCCAGGTGGACTTTTTGGCATTTCGCACCCTCAAGACACACTACCCCTAACTGCCAGCACAATCGCGCCCTCTAGTGACCACAGCAGGGACACCTTTGGCGGAGCTCCTCCTGCGTCCCATGGCCCAGCTCCCTTTGCCAGTGCTAATCCCTTGTGCAGCTGTTAACTCCCTTCTCGAGTTAACAGTCCTTCCAGATGGCCTGAAGGAGAAACTGAGGCAGCTGCGGCTCCCTGCAGGCCCTTCTATATGGATGGGACTGGGGGTTGAGCAAGGGCACCATCTCCCTAGTGCTTAGCCGGAATGCAGCAGAGCTGGGGTGCTGGTAGGCACAAAATGGGTACACTGACTCCTACCCCCAGAAGAGGCTGAGCCCCAGGTGCAGACACAGGGCAGTATAAACACACGACAAGCTACACATAATATGGCAGAGCCACGTGATACAGAATAGGGATTAGATACGTGCCATGTACATACAAGGCACAGGCCACGCGGTGCGACGCATAGCACATACACAATACAGTGCAGACACTGTATCCATACACATACTATAAACATGACTGCACACACACCCCCCCCACGACGTGATACAGACGTGACACCCACAAAATAGCATAGATAGGGTACGGCACACACACGACTGGGGACAGGCACCCAGATACCATGGGGGTACAGGAAGCAGCACAGATACACTCACCGCCCCCCCCACAGTGCATACTCACACACAGGACTCATCTTCACACTCCCAACAAAACACTCCCCCCCCCACCCCCGCCAACAGGACAGGCAAGAGGACTGTAGCCACCAGGTGGAGCGCTGCATCCTGCCAGGCTCCGCACACTGGCTCCGGCCCTGCAACTGGTATATTTGAAGCAGAGAGCCGTGCAGTTCATCGGAGGCTGAGGCGAGGTGGAGGCAGGCCTACGGAAAGCTCTCGGTCTTGCACAGGAACCTGGAGGTGCTTGGTTGGTCCAGGCTGGTACCTCCACTGCCCCCCACCCCCACCTGGCCTTCCAGCACTGCCCACCCCCATGGGTGCTTGCTGCCATCCCCCTGGGCTCAGGGGACATTTTGTGGCCAACCTTCTTGAGCCCCCTTCCAGTCCTGCCCCTCTCTGGAGCTTTGGCAGCCGTTACTCACCTACCCCCCACCCCGCCCCCTTGCAGGATGAGCTCACGAAGCCAGGGAGGGGATGGGCACACCACTTAGTGGCCCAGTGGGTGGGATCTGGAAAGGCTGCTGGGAGTATGTGAGTGGGAAGCACTCAGGGAATGCCACGGTCCCCTGGGGGACACAGGCAGCCGGGCTCTGGAGTCTCGCCAGGAGCAAGTGGTGGATCTGGGGTATGGCTTGGTCTTCTCGTTCACCAAGGGGAAGTGGGGAATCCTGGGGCTTTTCTTGGCTCCCTGAGGCTTCACTTTTTCTCTCTCCACCTTTAGCTGTCCCTCCTTCTGTGTCTTTGGATTAGGACCTGGCACATTCCCATACCCGCTGATAGAACGTGTGCTAGCCTGGGTCCGGCTTTGCTGGGATTTCACATAGAGGTGCTGCTTTTCTTGGAGGACAGACACGTGGAGGGAAGGCGGGGGCAGGGTAGGAAGGATTGCAGAGGGAAGATCGGCCTCCTCCTTGAGAGGCTCGAGCGATGGTGGGGGAAGGCAGGAAAAGAGAGGGGTTAAAGACCTTGCCTCCACAGTTGGACATGGAAACCTCTGTGGGGAAGATAGGGTAGACCGTCACCCTGAAAAACCCCAGGATATACTCACCCTAAGAAATCTGAGAAAGACTGTGGAAGACCTCCCCATAGTGGAGATTGGGTTGCGGGGGAGGGGAGGCACGAGGAGGTTCCAGTTAGGATCAGAGGCCGAGGCCCTCAGCAGCTGTGTATTGATAGCAAATTAGGGTCCCCCCCCCCGAGTGCTTCCCACCGCCACCCAGTGAAGGAGGTTGCTGCAAAGGGAAGGAGGTGGAGGTGGGTGGGGGCCTGGAAGTGAAACAGCATTGCTAGATCTTAGGGAAGCTCAGGTGTCCCCAGAGCCAACGTGCGTTTGCCATGATCTCTCGGTTTTCTGTCGGACGCTGGGCTGGACCACCTCCTGCGAATATGCGGCTATTTCCCATCTGTCCTCTTTGATCTAGTCCTCCTGACACTTGTCCAGGGCGGCTAGGGCAGGTCTTCTCTGCGAGCTAGCAGGCAGGGCCAGAGTGAGTGGCGAGGTGATAGTTCTCAACCTGAAAGCCCCGGTTCAGCGCCCTTGCTGGACTCCGACCTCTCAAAGCCCTTTTTATGCTTCTCCCCTCTCTGACTCTCTGCCTTCTCGAGGGGTTTTCTGAAATCCACTGTAGCGTGTGTGTGAGGTTTGGGCGGGTTGGCTGAGGGAATAGTAGCAGGTGGGGCAAGAGGTTCCTGCACCCCCACGATGCTTCTCTTGGCAGGTTGCCCCCAAGAAAGTGCAGCGGAGTCTTTGCGTCTTGTGGCAGCTGACGTGCCCAGCCCTGAGTCCGTGGGAGCTGAAGGCAGCCCGGCCCCTTCTCATGGGCAGCGCCCACCTGTGCTGAGGTCCTGCGGCCGTGGCAATAAGAGGTGAGTAGTGGACTCCAGGGCAGGGAGTCAGGGATCTCCAAATCCAGGTAAAGGCCACCTTTCCACCAGAGCTGCCAGTATTAAAGACCTTGCCTGGGCCTCACGAGCCGGGACTGGGTGCACAGCCCCTCCTTTCTGGGGCACTGTGGCCCGTATAGCTGCCCTTGGTTTCTCAGTTCTCCCCGTTTCTAATATGGGAATGATAGCCGTGACCTACATCGTGGGGTGAGTAGGAGAAATAACTGAATGGTCATGGCCAAGTCCTTTGCAGTTGTCAGGCTCCGTCTAAGAGCTTCCGTGTAACCACCAACACGCTTCCCTTCAAGCTGGCATTTCCTCTCCTCCTGTTTTCCGGATGTCAACGTGGCATTTCAGCCACATGCCACTGACCAGTCAGTTCCCAAAATTTCTCCTGCTCCACAACTTTCATTTGACCTTCCTATTCAAGGCATGCCCCCACCCCATCTGTCCCAGCTTCCAGGCCTGATGGGCTGCTTCCAAAACCTTCTCTCTGCCTTCCCAACCAAGCGGGGAGCACTTCTCCCCCCAGCTCCCCAACAACACTTGAGCCCGTAGAGTATCGCATAGCCCTTATTTCTCAACTGCCGTCGATCGTTCTTGCACGGTTTCTGGAGTATTCATCTTGGCAGGGAAAGTAGACCATAAACTAGGGGTAGGGACTCGATTTCACAGGTCTCTCGTCTCTCTCCCAAGTGCCTGACGGTTCCCCGGCAGCGTTTCGATTTGGGCCCCTCTCTTCCTCTCCATTTCTTTCAGGTTCCCAGGCCTGCCTCTGATCATCGACCTCTTTCTCTCCTCGGGCAGCTGATAGGGCTTCTGCTGTCAGCTGCCCCCTCTGGCCTTCTGTTGCCATATGCCGCCGTCCAGCTACCTGTTTGTTTCTTACGTGCCTCCTTCTCTTTGTCTGCACTTCTGTCTATTTGTCAGTTACCCGGGCATCTCTCATAGCACCCAAGTCAAAAGCGAGTGACCAACCAAACTTAAAAAAAAAAAGCAAAAAACCCCTAAAAAACCCCGACAAGAAAAACAAAGAGAGAACAAACAAGGAATACGCAGTGCAGTTCCCGGCCCGACGGGACAAAGGAAAAGCACAGCTCAGCAGCAGGTGTTTCTGGGGTGCCTCCTCGTGAAGGGGAAGCTCCAGAGTTTCGGCCGGGATATTGAGGGTATGAAATTACAGCCCTGCTGATACTGATGTATTCAGCTTCCTAGAGATGCTGCGGTAGGGGATCCTCCATAGACCTCGAGCGGCAGAAGGTAACTAGAACTCGCTCAAGTCAGAAGCGAGCCGCGGGGTCTCTCCTGGGTGTTCTGTGGCAGCTCCAATAATAACGTGTATTTATTGTCTGCTGTTGCCAGCACTGGGCTGGGCATTTTACTTGCAGGAGACTGTTTGATCCCACAGTAACTCTGCAAGGTAGGTTTGTTTGTTTTTTTTTTTTCCTAGTAGTTACTGTTTTTGTTTCTGATTATAAAAGTGAGACTAGCTCAAGGTAGGTTCTAGAATCATGGTTTTGCCCACGAGGAGACCGGGGTTGAGAGGGGCTAAGTAACGTGCTGTAACTGGACACATGCAATGGCTTTGGGAGGAAAGACACTTCCTCGAGAGTTTCTCAGCATCCCAAATGCTTCAGTGCTCACACATACGTACACACACTCTGATGAGCACACTCGTGTACTCTTGGACCTTCACACAATCCTTCTGCCTCCCTGGCTCACACTTTTCCCGCCGGACACATTCATGGTCACGGTCACTCCCACCCCCTCACATGAGCCGCATATTTACAAACATGCTGCACGCAGGCCCACGCTCCTACGGCCACACACTGCCACGTATATTTTTATGTTCACGTTTTTGTAGTGACACACACTCCACACTTGCCATACACCCCAGCCTCACGTTCTCACTCACTCACGCCTTTACATTTTCTCACGTTCTCACACACTCACCGTCACACCTTCTCACCCATATCCACACCGATGATGGAATCACATTTAACCCACAAATGCCTCCATGCTCACGCAGTCTACACGCAGACCCCACGCCGACTTTCCCTTGTCCGCTTCTCATACGGCCATACATACCTCAGTTTTATACGCTCTAACACATTCGCACTGTCATGGTCTCCTCCTCACAGTAAGACCCTGACACCGCTCATAACTCCTCACAGGGACACACACGCGTGCGTACACGTTCCCACCATAAGTGCAGTCTCACCATTTCCGCTGTTATACCACCTCATAGTCTTACCCTCAGTATTGCGTGCTCTGGGACTCCTGCTCAGCACGGACACAACCTCCCCACCTCTGTCGCGTTCACACGAAATCACACTTACACATGGAGACACGCTCACTGTGACACCCATTCACGCTCATTCGCTCACCTTCAGGCTGAGACCTGATCGCAGTATTCACCAAACTCACGAGCGTGTGCCCTCAGAGGTAGTCACACACACGCCTTTTCATAACCTCAGCCACTTTTCCTGACACACATTGCCCTGCCCTCCACTCAGAGTCACACAGGTGATGCACTCGCACTGACACACACCGACACACCCATCTGCTCGCTTGCATTCAGTACTCATGCTAATTCACAACAACATGCAGTCTCACTTAGGGCACACCCATGCCTACATACTGACGTTTGCACATTTTTATGGGTTTCCATACTCTCACGCTCACAGCCACGCACCCCGAACGCTGCGCTCCCACATATCCCCAGGGCACACAGTCACACTGCCTTACACTCACGTACATTCACATGTACACCCTCTCCCTCTCCCACTACCGTTTCTGCATCACACACGTTCACACTGGCACACACGCCACATGCTCACGTTCTTGCCCATTCTCTCTCGTGTTCTCATCCTGGCATACCCTTATGTTGCCACACACGTGCACACCAGTGCACACGTCGTGACCTGCACAGTCACTGACCTGCATTTACGCTAGCACACACCGCGCCACGCCACACGGTCCACACTGTCGCCCTCGATTCCCGTAAATGAGTTCATGCACTCACAGGCCGCTGGTGATGCCACAGACGGCCACGGAGACTCACACTCACTCAGACTCTCATTCCCCCTGCAACGTCCCCCCTGAGGGGGATACACTTGCTCACACTGGCCCACATGCCCACACAGTCACTGAAGCATAAGATACATCGCCTCTAGCTTGACCTGCTCGCCTGAACGGCCATGGACTCTTCCCTGGACTCTCACACGGACGCATTGACGCTGACACATCCTCACATGGACACGGACCTACACCCCCTCACTGAGGTGATCCCACTCCCCCACATCTGCGACCCACACACGGTTTATAGTGACCCCACGCTCAGGCACACACCCCGCATCCCCAAGCTTACACATGGCCCCCCCGCGGATATTGCCACATCCATACACTTTTTCACTGACACGCACACCATCACGCACCCCACTGCGGGGAGTACAGTTGTCACTTGTTTTGCCCCTACTTGCCACTAGTGCTCTCCTCACCCCTGCTGGAAGGTTTTTCAGCAACCTGTGGCCAAAGGAAGAGTGTTGGTCTCAACCAAGGCACCAGTGGGACTAGATCTTTCCAGAGGCAAAAGGAGTGGAATTTATGTCCAGCGTTAAAAAGAAAAAGCTCAAACCCACAGATCAAATCTTACGTCCTTTTGCCATAATTTTTTTTTGTGGAAGTCATCTCTAATAGAACCTTGGCCGGTCTATCCAAAAGGGGTTGGGGTTTAGAGGGTTTGTTTTCTGGAAGTTTACGGCTTAACTTGCCACCTCCTTTCTCTCCCAAGGGGAGGGCAGGCTAAAGCATATATTTCTTTATGCACTCGCAGTGGTTCCCTAGGCAAAAGTGTGGGTCTCTGATTTTATGTTTCTGATCTGGAATTCCCTGCTGTTTCTGGTAGGCACCTCTACCCTGTTAGCCCTGGAACGTGGCGTTCAAGTTTCTGTCGTGAGTGTGCATGTGCATACATAGACCCCACTGGAATTTCAACAGCTGCTACTGACAAGTTAACAGAGGAAATTTCTCAGTAGGCGTGGATAAAGGCAAGCTGAAGAAACTTCCTTGCGCTCCAGACAGACTGTAGATTTCCCTGCAAGAGGGTAAAAAGAAGTGCAAATCCCAGGAGTGAACCAACCAGTAGATCAGGGGCCTGGTGCCAGAATCCTGTGCCACCACAATTCCCGACAAGAGATTTAGAAACGTGAGAGCACCTTGTAGGAGCCTCCTTAATCTGTGGCTTCCCCGGCTGGAGCCTCTCTGGAGGAAAGATGAGTGCAAACTAGGCCCAAGCTGCCATTTGATAATGGACTCTGGCACCATGGGGAAAAGCCTGTACTCTGAAATACCACACACTACCTTCTACACCTGCGATTAGATTGAGACCTTCTGGGAAAGCAGAGACCACATTGTCTAACTTATTTTAGATTCCCAGGGTCTAGCGTGATGCCAGGCCCAGAGCAGCTACTTGTGAAACGCCAGTCAGAAACTGAAGGAGGTGGGTGGACGGCAGTGTGCCAGGACAGATCCAGTGCCTGCCTTTCTCAGTCCTGGAATTCCAGTAGCATTACCAGCGTAGATTGAGGATCTTCTATGGGCCCTATCGAGTGCTAGACCCAGAAGGAGATTCAGATGGAGGCAAGAAACATACCCTGCCCTTGAGGTACTTTCATTCGTGTGGGAAAGATGGCGTCACCATGCAACAGTAGCACAAGGCAACAGTCTTAAAGCTTGGGATTTGGGGGACTCTTTATCATCCAGTGGTCTTCAGGCTCCCAAGGCCTTGAGGGCCCATGGGTGGTTGGGAACAGCCGCCAGGATGTGGGGCAGTCATTTCCCAAAGCAGACCTCCTCGTAGACCTCTTGCCCAGCCCAGAGATGTGCCATCTTTCCAGAAGATGGTGTAACGGAGCCCTTTGTCAACAGTGCCTAAGGTAGAGGAAGGAAAGTGAGGTACGGACGTTAATGGAAATTTTGTA